GGGGGGGGGAGGAGGGGACCCCCCGCCGGCCAGAAGCGGCAGCAGCGGCGGCGCCAAGGAGCCCCAGGAGGAGCGGAGCCAGCAGCAGGATGATAACGAGGAGCTGGAGACCAAGGCCGTGGGCATGTCCAACGACGGCCGCTTTCTCAAGTTCGACATCGAGATCGGCAGGGGCTCCTTTAAGACGGGCTACAAAGGCCTGGACACCGAACACCGTGGAAGTGGCCTGGTGCGAGCTGCAGGTAAAGCCCCACCTACTGCTTCCAAGATTTTACGGCCGTTTGGGTCCCAGGCCCGGCTCGGTTGAGCCAGTCGATCGAGTTCACTCGTTCCAGGCCATTCTCTAACTGTCGGAGTGGGAGGGGGAGACCCACCTTGGACCAGATGGGAGTGAGGAGAAGGCGGAGCCAGCTCCTGGGTGTGTGGGCAGCCTGAGGCTAGTAGCCGGAGGGGCTGGTGTAGGCTGGGGTGGCGGCATCGCCGCGTGCGACCCTGCTGTCGCCCGGTTACTGGTTCGGTGTCTGGGGGAACTTGGAGTTGGTGGTGAAGTTTTTGAGCACCGAAAGTGAAGGCTTTTCGCCCTGTGCATCAGTGGCTCTGCGTGATGAGCCGCAGTGTTCGAAGCGAGTTTCCGTCTGAGACAATGCTCTTTCAAATAAGAACGTCCTTGTTCTTCTGGGCGTTTCTTACTTGAAGATTGCGCAGGCATTTAGTGTAAAAGAATTACTACAATTTCTTTTCTACCCCTTTTGGATAAATGTCTTGAGAGTACCGAGGTACAGTTAAGTGTTTTGTGGGGTTTCAGTTAATGCTGCTTAAGCCTTATGGTAGCTCTTAGCAGTGATCTGACGTCGTTTGTGAAGAAGAAAATCTTCTACCCATTCGCCCTTACAGTACAGGAACCCTTGCAAAATTGCGTTAGAGAGTTGTAATATCATTGTTTTAATCTTGTTATAAAATGCTTTTAAAATTAAACTTTCCCAAGAGTCACAGTGCTTTTCTAACTTCTCTGGGTGGTTTCACGTTGTAGATAGTGGTGTGTCATTTTGGTTGACAAGTGCATTCAGATTTAAACAGTTCCAGCTACTTGTTGCTTGACTTACTGTAGCAGCTTGCTTGAAATGTTGAACACAGGTTATTGGTAGAGTTACAGAAGGAAAACTCAGCTAGGCTGTGGTGGAGAATGCCATTATCATCAATATTCTTCTTGGACCAAGCTGAAAGAGGATGTGAAAGTAACTGATCTCAGACTTATTTTATGGTGAGCTAATTTAATGTTAACACTTAACCCCTTAAATGTCAGCTTCCAGATGACCAAGGCCATATTAACTGTGAAAGGAACATGCTGTTAATACACAGCGTGTGGAAGTAATCTTAAAAACTGTCAAGTTCCTTAGGAACATTACTGTTTCTTACAGTTAATGATATGGAACTTGTGCAACAAAAACTTACTAATTTTATAGTGGTTTAGGGTAAGATGACAGATCTTTGTAGAAAAGAAAACTTAAAACTTGTCAAATTGTTACTTGGTCAGACATTTTCAAAAACTTAGACTTACAGTTTTTGGTTTATAGACAGAAACTTACTTTTCAGGCAGACACATTTCTTTTTTTTGCTCCAAACATGCCTATTGCTATTGATTCTGGCACTTTATTCTTCCATTATAGTTTCATATTTGTGTAGATCTTTAAAATGATTTTTTCCCCCTGACTGGTTATCTTACCCTCTTAAGAGTGAGAGGGTTTATGGATTAATTTTCTTAGTTTCGGTTATTTCATTTTCAAGACTTCTCAGAATGAAATGTGTACGTTTCCTCCCTGGAATTTTCTGATAGTTTATTGTATTGGAAGTACTATGGTGGAAAAATCTCAACTTGTTTAATGTCACATAAGAACTCTGTCTCGGGAACCAGCAGTTAGCGTAATGGCTATGTCGCTGGGCTCCCACGTAGTCGACTGCGGTTCGCGTCCTGAACCCGCTGGCTTAAAGCTCACGCCAGGTGTGTGTGCATACGTGCTCAAGATCCCCAGAGGAGAATGGAGGAGAAGGGATTGCGGTGTGACCATCCCCCTGGGGGGTGATTTTGCACTTTCTGTTTCTATGTCTGCCTGTCTGTCGAGCGCACGCGCCCTATAGCGAAAACCTCTCCCCAAAAAAAGAGAACTCTGTCTCAGCTTCTCAGTTTTTGATATAATTCATGACTTTTTGGATTCTTAGTTATCTACTAAGAAAAATCTAACATCACATAATTTTTAAGCCAGCTCAGGATTTGTGTGGTACCCTGACTTAGAAACTTACATGTCATTTACCGATGCTTCTGCAGTTTTCCATTTTGGTTTTAAAATATGATTATCTCACTTAAGGATCCTTTATAACAGGAATTGGGCAATATTTTTGTTTCGTTCACCAAGACACTTGCAGGTGCATAATGAAAGTATTCAATAGGTCAGCGTTTGAACTTTTGTCTTTGGAACCAAATTAAAGGACAAGCCTAAGGATTGATTACAAGCACTGGGAAGAAAGGGAAGGTTTTCCCTTAAATATTTATGTATTTTAAATTTGCTATAGTGTGGTTAGAGAGACAGAAGACACCCTCAAGGGGGAATGACCACGTCACAGTCCCTTTTTCTCCATCTCTCCCCCTGGGATTGTGGGTGCACACGTACCAGGAATGTTTTTCAAGTCACCAATCTGGGACTCAAACCTCGCCTTGGGCCACATTGTGTTCAGGTGCCTTCCCCACCCTGCCACTGGCTGGTCCCCTCTTAATGTTTAAGTACTTCTAATATACGTGTATTTCTGTAGCAAGATAGGAGAAGTAACCGTTTTCAATTGTTGAATTAAAAATCTTAGTGTATTAAATCTGGGAGAAATTTTAGGTTATTTTGCTCAACTACTTATTTAATCAATAAGAAACCTAAAATCGTAGAGCAAGTAAATAACTTGTTTAGGTTTATAAAGAACAAAATTTTTAAAGACTAGAAGCTAATTATTTGGGAGATGGTAAAGCATTTGCAGTCCAGTTGATGGCTAATTGATCATTTTAAATGAAGCAGTACTAATTTTGGTGTGGTAGTGACTATCAGATATCTATCCTGTAACCATGACAGATTTCAGAGTTCCGTTTTGGATATTGATTTTATCACCCCAAATGAAGGTATAATTAGGCCTTGGGGAATAGCTGACTATGGTATATTTTCTATCAAGCTTATTTTTAGAGTCACAGTATGCATGGCTACCTTGTAAAGCAAGTGTCAATTCTTTTTTTTGGGAGAGGTTTTCGCTATAGGGCGCGCGCTCGCCAGACAGACAGAGACATAGAGATAGAAAGCGAGAAATCACCCCCCAGAGGGAATGGTCACGCCGCAATCCCTTCTCCATTCTCCTCTCGGGATCTTGGGCACGCACACACATGCCCCGGCGTGAGTTTTAAGCCACCAGGTCTGGGACGTGAACCGTGGTCGACTACGTGGGAGTCCAGCGACATAGCCATTTACATTAACTGCTGGTTCCCAGCAAGTGTCAATTCTTAATAACAGATGTTTTAAGATGTAGATTTCTTTACTTGGTTTTAACTATTAGGCAATTTATTGTGCTTAATTTTAATACCTTGTTGCTGTGTTTAGAAAATGTCATTAACGCTGGGCTTTGCCTGTAGAGTAGTTGACATTGCTGTTGTATAGAGGGATCTTAATTTTAAGATACATAGTTTACTTAAAACATTTATACACAGATTTAGGAATGATTTGTTTACTTTAAGCATGCTTTCCCCAAGTTGTCCCTAAAACAGTGAATGATTATTTATTGTAAGCACTTTTCTCCCAAGTTGTTCCTAAATAGTTCATTCACCTAGTGCATTGTATATTAATGAGAGAGATTGTTTGCAAATCTACATGTAAGGTGAGATCAAATCATAATTTTCCTTTAAGCTCCAGCTTAAACAGGGAAAGTATCCTTTTCCCTAACTTTTAGTAATTAAAGGCTCATGTCTCATGAGTATATGATACTGAGGTTTTATGAAAAGTTTAGCAATACTGTAGAAATGGGATGTGGTTGTGATTAAGAAACAGTAACTTATTTCCTTGCTATAGTTCTTAAAATAACTAATTGAACTGAGTCTTCCCATTTGAATATAGAGGACTACTTCCCTCCTCCTTGCCTTTTAAATTTGTGCCATACTCCTTATTTTTTAAGATGAGAACCTGCAGAAACTTCTAATCTCAGGAAATAGATATCAAGGAATAAACTTTGGTGTTTGCTTATTTTTAACTTCTCAAAATCACTGATTAGGAGTATGGGCAAAATTCATATCCCACCTTTACCTTTAAGTAAAGTAGCTATTTGGCAGATTATAGAGTATTTGGTGACTTGTATGAGGTAAGTCCTTTGTCCCTTCTGAACAGAATTAGGGATAGGATGACTTTGTTAGGTTTGATTTGATTTGTTATTTTTATGTGTAGCTTTATTGCTGCAGAATGCAACTGTGTTACAGGAATTGAGAGTTACATTTTTGTTTTTTAAATGATAGTTACTTTTTAGTAGTCTTAGGGTTTTAAATGTTTTCATTTCATCCCAACCTTTCCTGACACACAGTTATTCCTAGTCTAAGAACTTGAAATGATTGGTTGTTTTTGTGTAAAACAATTGGAAATCTATTGTTACCTGGTGACAGAGTTCACTTCTTGACATTTAAATTCTAGTGTAAGATCCAGGTCATTTGAAATTTATCCTAGTTTATTGCTATGGGAACACTCAACTAAAACTGGGCTCTCATTTTCAGAAATCATCCTAAACCTGTTTAGTTTTTTAAAAAATTAGATAAATTTGTAAAAGCAGCAAGAACAGTTATGCTCAAATTATAGCTTCTGAAAATGTTAGTATAACTAGAAATAATAGTTATACTTAGTATATCTTTGCTGTACTAGTTCATAAGTTACATTAATAAAGTTTTGGTAACTTGCAATGTATTTGAAGGTTTTTGTTTAGTGCTAGACAAATCTGGTCTGTAAGAGTGGTGTAAATTAACAAGACTTCAGTTTAGTTTTACAGAGGCCACTTTTTTTTTTTTTTTTTTTTTTATAGTGTAATGTAGCATAGGTTGAGCATCTGTGATCTGAAAATCCAAAATATGCCAAAATCCAGAACTTACTGAGCACCAGCAGGAAGCCACAAGTAGATTTTGTACCTGACCTCTTATGTTGACTCAGTCTGAAACACAAGCATGATGTATAAGTTATTTTCA